GATTGCTGAGAAATAAGTGTGGGTCTCTCTACTTTAGATGCAAAGGATAAATGCAGTGGGTGTCACAGCCAGAATAATAATTGTGTCATCTGTCTTATCATGGAATGTGACTATAGTAATTGCAACATTTTCACCCATCATTGAAGCTTGTAATTATAGTGCAACTAACAGGATCATGTGCTAACTTGGGCTGTTTTAATCACCTCTTTTACTGTGAAATGTAATGGTAAAATTCCACAGTTGTTCCCAGGCTACCCATTCTTTCAACATCTCTTATCTTGTAACTCAAGCAGTTCAACACTAAGGAGGGCAGGCGGAGAGACGCTGTGGGCATTTTATCACAGCAGACTTGAGGGAAAGCCGACTTCAGGCTTGATGAGAAAGCATAAACAGTAAGGGAGTTTTCAATTTTCTACTAGAATAAAAGTTTCTCTTTGAAAGCAAATTGTCTATTTTATGTTTCAAACATGGCAGATGTCTGTGGGATCTGGCAACATCTGCAACCCATATTTTATACATGTTGAGGGAAACCTGCAACCATAAAAATCAATCTAAGGCTGATTAAGAACCGCATCCCCCCTCAGTCCAAAGAGCAGGTTTAGGTTCATTAATGCCTGGATACTAAGCCATGTGTCAGAATGCCACCTTTCATGGGAGGACTCGTTAAGGCAGTCATTACCTATATTTATCATTTCAGATCGCATTACAATAAACTTCAGATACTTTTGTATTTCAGTTATACAGGACTTTGGACACTATGTGAAATGAGGGGCTGGTTAAGAAGGGAAACTCCCTTGATTATTTTGCTGTGAGATGATTTACACTCTGTTAGACACAGCTGCACACAATGGACCATGCTTTACAGTGCTGCCTTTCTATAATCCTGAGTGATCTAGGAAATTAATACTGCATGGAACCAATCCAGATCCACACTTTTGGTCTTAAACTGGACACTGATTACTCAGCACTAATACCAGCTTCCTTACGTGTGCATTCCTGTGGTGCAGGTGCGCAGACAGACTCAGCCAGCCAGAGGAGTACAGTTACAACTGAGCAAACGCAACTGTGATCTTAAAACAACAAAAGGAGGCAATCTAAGAACAAAATTTCAAGAAATTTTCTTGAAAGAAAAATTGTGGCATCAAGTACAGTGTCCTAGATTAGACCTGCTTAGAACTGGCACAGCCAGACATTAACAGCGTAATTGCTGGGGTGCTGCGGCACTAGGCTGTAAGGGAAGAAGATGCTCTGCTGTACAGAGAACGTGAGCACAGCCCGATCTCTCCTCCACTGGGCCATCCCTCAAAGCCCCAACGTTTTTAGGGCCCCCTCTTCCGATGTCATGGCCCTAATGTACTGGTTGACAGAGCAGCTGCCCGAGGAGGTGCCCCCTTTTGAGGGTGTCTTCAGAGAATTAAACGAGTCCAATCCACCCACGACGGATGTTGATAACACCTGCACAAGTCAACTGATGAAGGGGAAGGCAGCCGTCACGATAATTCAGCAAGCCAGCTGCTGACTGGCTGGATTGTATGCGTGGGTAGAAGCGGATTAATGGGCCACAGCTGAGAGGCAGGAGAATCTTGGAGGCCACAGTGGCAGTGTCCATCCCAGCACTTCTTAGGGCTGGGGAAGAGGGAGTGAGTCCCCACTGAGGACACTTACTGTCCCTAGATGAAGTGAAATGACCTAAGAAACTTCAGGTGCAAGACTTGTCTTCTGGTTGTGTGAGTTCCCAGGTAGTTGGTCTACAAGGGTCTCTCCTCTTGTGTGCTGGCCAGACAGATGAGAATGTTCCAGTGCATTTGAGAATCACAGTGCTCATACCAATTAACAAGGCAGCCGCTGTAGCATAGTGGCTAGGTGTAGATTCTGTATGGGGTATGGATTCTGTATAGAGTGTAGATTCTATATAGATTCTCTATAGAGTATAGAGTCTATATAGATTCTGTATAGAGTCTATATAGAGTGTATATTCTGTACAGATTCTGTACAGAGTATAGAGTCTGTATAGATTCTGTATAGAGTGTAGATTCTATTTAGATTCTGCATAGAATATAGAGTCTGTATAGATTCTCCATAGAGTGTAGATGTAGATTCTATATAGATTCCATATGGAGTATAGATTCTACACAGTCCATATAAAATATAGATTATAGAGTATAGATTCTGTATAGTATGGACTACTTAGCTTCAAATTCTGGCTTCTTCTCTTAGTGGATGTGTGACCTTCTTAACCTTTGTACCTCAGTTTCCTCATCTGTAAAGTGGCCTTAAGAATAGTACTTATCATGAATACTTGAAAATTGCTAAGAGAGTATATTTTACATGTTTTCACCACAAAAAAATAAGTATGTGAGGTAATGGATGTGTTAATTAGCTCAATTTAGCTATTCCACAATGTAGACATTCATCAAAACAGCATGTTGTACACCATAAATTCAATTTTTATTTGTCAATTATAAATAAATAAGAATAGTACTTACCAGAAGAATTCAATGAAGTCATACATCTGATGTATTTAGTGCAGTGCCTGGCACATAATAAGCCCTTAATAAATGTTAGCTACTGTTTTTTGTTACGATTTTATACAGCCACCTCCTGAACTTATTTAATCTCTCTGCCACAAAAGATGCCAGAAAATTGTGTTTCTGGGCCCAGAAGGCCAGGGTCTGCCCTCTGGAGAAAGGGGGCAGGTGTACCAAGGAGAATGCCACCATGTGGGAGTGGACGTCTTGTCAGACACCCCGTCTCCTTGCCTCTCGTTATAGAGCCGCAGTAGTGCACAACTGCTCTTTTGTGACGTTTCAGTGCCTGCCGATCATTATGGTAACGTCATCCTTGTTGAGTCTTCTTGATCAGATCTTCTAGACAGCGGAAACCTTGTCTTGTTCTTTTCCCTGCATCCTCTCAATTAGCTAAAAAGTAGCTACTCAGTAAATATTTCCTGAATGAGATAATAAGGTTTATAGAGAATTCAGAATAAACTGGAGCATGTCCCCCCCCCCAAAAAAAAAACAAAAAAAAGAAGTAGATGAGAAAATGAAAACTAGAAAACTGCAGAAAGCTGATAGTCAGGCAAGACATCCTGAAATGAAGCTCCTGGAAGAGCTCACTGAAGTCAGGGACCGGGACCCGGCAGACCCAGGAGGATGATGGTGCTTAGAGGAGGAAGGTGGGCAACCCTCGGTGTGTGCTGGCCTGGGCAGCAGCGAAGGCCACTTCCCAGATGAATTCAGATGCTGTCCTAACACGGTGGCCACAGGCAGACCCAGCAGCCTCTACATCACTGGACATGGTGAGAAGCCGGGAGTGGAGACAAAGAAGGTCATGACTGAGGCAGCTGGGGACAGCAGTTGGCTTTCGTTCAGAAGGTGGCAGCAAACACGCCATATGCAGGGCCCAGTCCTCCAAGCCCCACACCCACGTGCTGCAGCACTCACTGTGTGATTCCCGTTCTCCATGTGCCCGTCACAGCTCTGTGGGCCTTGGAGCCCGCTTCCTGCTCCTGTGCTCTGGTCCCTTGTGATGGCTTCACAGGTCCCCTGCAGGCTTGGTCTTCCCCTGGGCCTCCACCCACCTGGGAAATAACTATGTGTGTGTCCTGTAGACCACTGCACACTTCAAACACTCCCAGTCAACTCAACGTACATTTATTTAAGATCTAAAATACTGACCATGGTGCTGTTAAATGTAGAGTCATAGACTATGTAGAGTAAAATGATTCTTGGAGAAATCTAACTGTCCTGAATTTTACAGATGAGGAAAGTGAAGCTCAAGCTTAGGGATGGAGGTAGAACTAGAAGCCCGATGTTCACTGGTTACCTCTTTCTCCATTCCACACTCCCAACAAATGTAGGCTTTGTCGGGATCTAGATGGACTTATCGCTCAACTTCAAGTTGATTTATTTGAGGAAAAAAACGCATTCTATCTCTCTGCTGGAATTATTTCTAGCCATTGCTAAAGCAGTTGGGTCTGGGCCGGAAATCAGAAGAACCACCCTTGTCAAATGTTGAAAGATGAGCCCATTTTTAAAACCCAAAAGGAAATGTGTGTGGCTTGTATGGCTGGAGGCTTTGAAACATTTTTTTTTATTCATTTGTGGAGTGTTTTTATCATTCTGGAGAAGATTTAGACATTGAATGTACTAAAAGGATTTCGTTTGACTGCTATGTACTTACCCCTGCCTGTAAGCCTCTAATAAGCACTTGCAGGCGGAACAGCCTAATTGGCAGGATGAGTTAATGCACAGGCCATTCATTTGCCAAGCGCATGACACAGACCGCGAGTGAAATAAGCTGGTAACTTCATCTCCCGCTCAGCGAATGCTTCTCGCACCCCGCCCTCTGCCACCCAGCTCTTCCTCTGGACTTGAGCTTGCAGACAATTTCTCGCACCACTGCTGTGCACCAGCAGGCTTAAGATAAGCCTGGAAAGAAGTGGAGGGGGAAGAACTTTCTGGTCAGGAGCAATTCTCTGCAGGAGAGTGGCCACCCCACATGAAAACATGTGTGCATATAAAACAGGGCTAAATATACGTTCTGCTGAGGAGGATGAAGTCTCTATCGTGGCCGTGAGAGTGGATTGCAGGAAAACAACTAATATTAATAATAAGTATGATCACATTGGCTTGGCCAGGGGTTGCATTCTGCTTTTTCCTTCCAGAAATGGTTTAGAAGAGTCATTGTGAGGCTACTGTCCTGGAGCCTCTTCTCACCCAACTGAGAGTTCCAGGAGGTCATCTGGTCCTTCCTGCTGGACCTCAGTCCTTGCCAGATGCTGGCCTGGTGTGGCCATGCTGCCTTGAAGGCATGCTTCAAACCTGTCTCTTGGGTTTGCACAAACCCCATCTCTCCGGCCTAGGCATGGCCTTGTCATTGGCTGTGTACACAGTATAGCCTGTCCTTGGGGTTGTCCCCTCCTTTCATGGACATCTCTCCACTGGCCCCACTCCATGATGTGGCCTTTAATCAGGTGCCTGTGCTCTGTGTCCCCCCAGGTCTCCCAGGCAGCCGCGGACCTCCTGGCGTACTGTGAAGCCCACGTGCGGGAAGACCCTCTCATCATTCCAGTGCCTGCATCAGAAAACCCCTTTCGAGAGAAGAAGTTCTTTTGTACCATTCTCTAACTCCATTTGTGGTGAAAATGTCTCCTTTTCCATCCACAAAAATTCCCTGTAGAGAACCGTGCATGCTCTAAGCCCCAGGGAGCGCTACCCACACCCATCTCTGCCTAACCCGTGGTGGCCGGGGCTTGTCCCGTTTTCTCACTTGTTTTCTTTGTGGCATTCGTTCATTTTTTTTCTTTTCATTTTCGTGTTATTTTCATTATTGGCAAAGAAAATAGACATTTGTATAGCCAAATAACAAATATGCCATGTAAAAATAAGTATGGATGTAAGGGTTTAAAAATTTTAAACATCAATTCCCAGGCTTAAATGTATCACGTTAATACATTTCACGGGATAACTTACCACAAAGAAGAACCCAAATATCCCCCATTTAATTCAGTATCAAATTAGAGCATTTTGACCAACTGAAATGTGCAGGTAAAGTTTCCATCTTCCTGGAGGAAGCAGCTGTGGAAGTTTTCACTTTCCTGCATTTTCCTCATCCAGTTAAAAAGGAAACAACCCACAGGATTGGAGTGGTTTTCTGAACATGTGTCTTCCCGGGGCCATGTGACCCAGGCCCCAGTGGTCCTTGTTGACCCCTTTGGAGGTGGTCCTTCCACAAACGTAGGTGTTGGGCGGCCACTGTAGTAAACTTGGCCATAAACGTGCACTGATGTGTATGTGTTGCAGCCAGACCTGCGGTGCCATCTCCCTTTCCAAAGGCCACTTCCTCCTGCTGTCTCCTCTTCTGGCTCTTAGTAGTCCTAACGTGGGCTGCATGCATAAGGGCCTGTTCCGGACACAGCACTGGTCCCTCCGGGGTTTTACCCGGGCAGCCCCTTCCCTGCAGGAGTGAGTTGTAGTGGCAGCGGCTCACTGTGTGCCACCGCCGACCTGAGCACTGATGTGTATTAAGGTATTTAATCCTCCAACAATAGATACCATTAGTGCATGTCTGTTTTCGAGCAAGGGGAGACCGAGGCACGGAGAGATGATGTGGTTTGCCCAAGGTTACAGACAGTAAGCAGGGAAACTGGGACTTGAGTGCAGGCAGTCTGGCCCTCGAGCCCTCCCTGAACCCCTGAGCTGTGCTACCCGTTTGCAGGTAGGGAGACCCGCAAACAATCTTAACTGAACACTGTGACGGGAACATCTTTGTTGTACTGGCCCGAGGTCTGCTCACGGCACACTTCTCTTCCCACCTTGGCCAGGAGGAGGCCTGTGGAGCCTGTCTTCTGGCAGTTTGTGGAAAATGATATGTGGATGCCCCAGAGGGGAGGCTAGACATCCATGAATTAGCTCTTGGATTGTCTGAGATCACCCTGCAGGCCATGCCTAAACCAAACTCACACCGCCCCCAATGTAAGAGGAGAATGAGCCGTGGGGGCAGAGAGCTCTTTGTCTGTAAGTTTGTTCTATGCCTGTATTTGGAAACTGCCTCTCTCCCTGGTTCTGACAGAGCCTTGCTGTATGATACAGGGCAGGCCATTGTGTGCCTGAAATGTTCTAACCTACAAATTGGGGATAATGGCAATTACTCCTCCTGCCTCTCTGTCTGGGAGGAAAAAGGGAGACGCTACCTAGATGAAAGCTCTGATTATCATTTAAAACAAATAAATGTACTAACTGCCACCCTCTAATATAGGGAAGAATGCATGAGTTCAAAGATTCTGCAGTTCAGGTGGATGAATAGAATGAAATTGGCTGCAAAGAGGCAAATATAATTTCAGATCGATGAATGACTTGCCACCCTCACAAATGGCTTTAGCACATTTTCATTCCTTGCTTCTTTTGTTGAAACCTGTCCTTAGTTTCGTTAAAGCTCACCAATAATGCCGGTGTTGTTAGGAAGCTGTTGCTCAAACTATAGCAGAACTGTCTGTTGGATGTGATGCTAACACTTCAGATCCTTCTATCGTTTGGTTTAGGACCAGGATCTCTTTATTCCATGGTCCATGTCACCGTCATTAAGCTGATAAACAAAGCACAATCCCTAAAAGCACATCAGAGAGGCCAAGGAGGTGGGGCAGCACAGAGAGTGCAAGATCAGGTCCAGAAAAAAGGGCTTTGAGTCTCGCACCAAACCTTCTCTCTGTCTTTGCTGTTCCTGCCCCTGCATGTTCAGCTTCCCCTTTGTTCTCTCTTTTTCCTTTTCTTCCCCACCCTCCCCTGTGAGACGCTTTTCTGTCCTTTCACTACACCTCTCCCCTCCAAACCTACGGCCTTTTTTGTGGGTCGCCCCTCCTAAAGGGACTCCTGAGTGCAGGTTCACACACTTGTGAATGAGCCCCCTCCCCTTCCATCAGTCAGTGGAAGATGAGTGACATAAAGCCTGATTGTGCGACGGAGCATAGCTGCAGTGGACAGTTGTCATGCTGTGTTCAGCTTGGCTGTCCAGCATCTGCCATCTCTTCCGGTAGGGGGGACGTCAGCCCTTAGGTACAAACGCAGTGGGATGCAGTACCTACCTCCCCCTGTGGAAGCCGATGTAGGGAGATATTCCCTGTCTCTCAGGCACACCCCCTTCCGGCCCTGTCCCAGCCAGGGAGTGGTAGTGACCTGGAGTGGACTAACTGGACTCCCCTGCTTGGGGCTGTGAGCCCAGAGCAAGTGACACAGAGATGACAGGATGCTGAGACTCGTTTCTTGGAAGCTGCGGTGGCCCAGGGGTGGCCATTGTCCAGCAGGGGAGGTATCTAGGTAGGGCCAGCAGGCTGCAGGGAAGGTGTGTCCACTGGTAACCACGTCCAGGGATGGCAGGGTCTGGGAAGACCATTCCTGTTCCACTCCTTGGCCCCACAGAGCTATCCCCACCTCCACCCATCTTCCCACATCTCCCTTCTAGTTTTCTGTCAATTCTTTGAGCTGCCAAGCTCTGTCCAGTAAATTCCTTCTTCTTCCATGAAATAGCCTGAGTTGGATGTAAATACCATGGGACCTAACAATTCCACTCCTAGATGTATACCCAACAGAGATGTGTACATATATTAATCAAAAGAACTGCCCTAGAATGTTCCTAGAAGCACTATTCGTAATAGCCCAAAACTGGAAAGTGCCCACGTGCCCATGTTGCATGGGTAAACAAATTGCGGTATAGTCCCGTGGTGGAATCCTATATAGCAGTGAGAACAGATGATCTGCAGCTACACCCCACAGCGTGGTGTGTGTCTCACAGACCTAGTGTCAAGGGAGACATGGCAAGAGCACACCCTATGATTCCATTTATATGAAGTACAAACCCCAGCAAAACTAATATGTGCTGTTGCAGGTAGGAAGAGTAGTTACTCTTAAGGGGCTAGTTACCAGAAGGGTGCATAAGGGGAACTTCTGGAATGTTCTGTTTCTTGATCTGGCTGCCAGGTACCTGGGTGTGTTCAGTTCATGAAAATTCTTGGAGCTCTACGCTTTCGATGTGGGCACTTTTCTGTGTGTATGTTATACTTCAATAAAACGTTGGTTTTTGTGGCTAACAATCAGGAATCCTACTGTTATTTTTTTTTCCTTCCTGAAAACTTGCCCAAACTTTTAACCCCCCTTAAAAAACAATAATAACATTACATTAATGATAACGACCATTCTTACTTAGCAGGGTGTTTGAAGATCGTGTTTGAAAATATTTTGAAATCTGAGAGACTTGCGATCCGCAGCTGTCTGGATGGAGAATGGGCTGTCAGCGCCGTGCAGGTGGCTCCCTGTGAATAGCAGTGCACACGGCACGCTGCGGAATTTCCGTCTTTTGGAAAAACAGGGAGGAATACTACTGGGACTTCCCGCTTGATGACAGAGATGACATCCTCTCCTGCCTTCTGGCCAGCAGGATTGAGTGGAGGGGATGGCCTGCCGCAAAACCCCACAAAACATTACTCTGGGGGTAGGAGTGCAGCAACTCCAGCCCCCCAGGCCACCCGGCCCTAGGTGCAGTGTTCCTTCTGCTGTGTTCCCACCCGCGGGAGCTCCAGCCCTGCTTGCGAACCTCAGATTGTCCCTGAAGATCTCCCAGTGCTGCCTCGCTTGTTCGCGGCTACCACGCAGCCTTGGCCATTCACCTGGCAGCTCTGACATGTTGAATTCCAGGCTGATCACAGAGTAGCTTCACGCTGCGACCTGTGACATGAGTCAGAAGGTCTTACCTCTGATCCTGAGCTGCAGCCCCCTGGGACTCAACAATGAGTCGCAAATTGTCAGCGGGGGGGCAGCAAACCAAAGGTCAGAAGGAATTTTGTTCTGGTGACTGTTCAGATTTGAGACGAAAATAATAACAACGTTTTGACCTGAGAAGAATATGGGTTATGGCAATAGATTAAACAGAATTTATTTACACTTCCCTTTCCCCAGCTCTTCAGTGGGGTGAGAAGACACCAGATCATGGGAGGATTTTGTGGAGGGTCACAAGGTTGCTCCCTACCCCGCCCCAACTTTCAGCCACGTCTCCTGGGCCACACACCGCTCTGCCGTCCCCGGGAGGAGGGGCCCAGGGCAGCAGCAGTAGAGGGTGAGCTGGGTGTCCGCCAGGTGTCAGTGCTTCCGGAGATACGTGTGGATGAACCAGTGATGGCTCCCACTGGCCACAACCTGACATTGCATCCTGTTTGTTTCTAACAAAACCCACACTTGATTCTGTTCGAGCTATGAATAATTTAATAACTTGTAAAATTTTCAAGCCCATGTGTGGTCATTAACCACGTGCTAGTGGTGGTGTAACCACTTTCTTCAAAGATTCCCTAGTGACGTAGGGTGGCCGCCAGGGCCCTGCCTGATCTGGCCCCTTCTTACTCTCCGGCGTCACTTTCACACCTCGCTCCCCCTCAAAACCCCGTGCTCCATCCACGCTGGCCATCATTCAAGCCTTCCTTGCTAGCCATGTTCCCTGCTGCCACAGGGCCTTTGCACTAGCCGCTTCCTCTACCCAGCACATTCTCCACTCCTCTCTTGGCCAGGTCTACTTATTTGGTAGATCTCGACTCAGGCATCACTGAAGGCTCAGGCTTCTCTGACCTCTCTGACTGGGTCAAACCTGCTTCCAGGATCCTACTGCACTGGGAGGCTCTCCTTTACAACCCTTGTCGTTGCCATTTTACATTTGTATCAGTGATGGCTCAAGAAAGATCTTCTACCCTATTATGCCGTAAACTCCATGAGGGCAGGGGTTCCGATGTTACTCACCACTGTATCTCAGCACCCAGCATCACATCTGGCACGTGATGGGCACTCAGTAAGTATTAGCAAATGAATACATGGAAGTTACTGCTAGTACTTTTTTGACCTTGGCTGCTTCTCCCCAGGGGTTGTCTATAAACTGCCAACTGGTGTGAATGAACCCTGAGAAGACTGTAAAATAGAATCCTTGAGAAGATGGGAG